AGCAGGGAGCCCGATGTGGGACTCGATCCCAGGACCCTGGGATCATGACCTGAGCTGAAGGCAGACGCTTAACGACTGAGCCACCTAGGCGCCCATGTTTTCTTATTTTTAAGTAATCTCTATGCCCAACGGGGGCTTGAACTCATGACCCCAAGGTCAAGAGCCACATGCTCTACAGGGCCAGCCATGTGCCCCATCATGTAGGAATCTTTTCAAAGAAAGACAACACTTTCAAGCCTTGACACTTGTTGCCCCCTTGCCTTAAATGCCTTTCTCCCTTCCTCCTTCTCACTTGGTTATCTCCTACTCACACTTCAGATCTTGGTTGAGATACCCCCTCCTCCAGGAAGTCTTCCCTGCCCGCCCAGCAAGATGAGGTCCTCCTAAGACCTCCTGAGAGCCCCTCCCCTCACAGCTCTAGGTACTCAGTCCCACTCTGGATATTTATAATGGAGTAGATCCTAAAAAGTACTTACTCTGTGTTAGGCCCTCTGCCAAACACTTTATTCCTATGATCTTATCAAACTTTCCTCTAATCATCTATAATAGGCACAGTTATCATCCCCATTTCACAGAGGACGAAACTGAGATTCAGAGAGGATGATCACTTGCTAAGGTCACACAGCAGGGAAGGACTGAGCTGGATTCGAATCTGGGATTCAAATCCATTACAGCAGCTTTCCCATACACACTCCTAAAAATCTCAAAAATCTAACCCACAAGGTGGGCTATGGAGCATAGAGACAGTAGAGTAGGACCGAAGAGCACAGAATCAGGTGGGACAAGGTGAAGTCCTGGCTCTGCCGCTCTCATTGTATGACCTTGGGCAAGCTTGTTGACCTCTACATATCTCAGTGCCCTCAGTGGTAAAATGGAGCTGACACTAGTATCTACCTTCTAGGCTGATGGTTGGCTGTGACAGGAGGTGGTGGGATCAGGCTGCCAGGACGAGGAGACGGGGTAATGGGATAGCTCATGCTTCCAAGAGGGGAAGCCACAGCAGGGCCTTAAAGGATTTAGTGCTATAGTTCCACAGGAGTCCCAGCTGAGGGCTTGGGAAGGACGGCCTGCAAGGGTGTACAGTGGGGGGGTGGGGGGGGGTGGCATCTGGAGCTACCGCCTGAGGGTGTACTATTCAGGGTTTCCTAGGTCATTAGAAAGAGTTTAGGGGTTTTCTTTTTTTCTAAGGGCACTGAGGCACCTTGGCAGGCTGGGGACTGGGGGATGAGGATGAAGAAAGGAGATGGTGTAACAAACTTCTGAGCCTTGCTCAGGACTAGGGGATCCAGGGCGCCTATAGTTAACAGCTAGAACCACTGACCTCAAGATTGGAACTTGATTCTCTTGGTTTGAGAAACCACGCATTTTTCAGAGGGGGGGGGAACTGCCCCTAATTGCTCAAGGTCACACAAATAATTGCCAGGAGGTCTAGTCTCCCGGCTCTGGTTCTGCGCTGGGCCCGGGGCTGCCCTGCAACCACACCCACCCACCCGAAAAGCCGGGGCGGGGAAATCCCACCGTGGAAGCCCTTCTCCCCCTGCCCCCCCCCCCAACTTCTGCGGCCTTGGCACACGGTAACTTTGGGAGCGGGGGCCAGGCCAGACCTTCCTCCCCCTAGCCCCGCGCGCCCCCTTTCGCCCTCCCCATTGGCTCGTTCTAAGAAGGGCGCTGTCTAGGAGCCCTCTGGTCACCTTGTCCTCCGCGCGCTCTATGGCGAAAGGGCCCTGCGCACGCGCGCGAAGGGCGCCTTCGGGGCCCGCGCTTTACGACACTTGTGCAGCAGCGGCAGCAGCAACTCGGCACTCCTTCGCGACGATTCGGCCGGGTGCCCCTGGCGGCCGTTGCCAGGGTGGGGGTCGCTTTGCGGCATGGCGATGGCGGAGGGCGAGCGGACTGAGTGTGCTGAGCCCCCCCGGGACGAGCCCCCGGCTGATGGCGCTCTGAATCGGGCAGAGGAGCTCAAGACGCAGGCCAACGACTACTTCAAAGGTGAGCCCACCCCGGAGGGGACCAAGGGAGGGTGGAGAGCGGCCCAGGGCAAGGGGTGCCCGGCCCGCGCGGAACCATGGCAACGCGGAGCGGCAGCCTGGGCGCGGGGCAGACACTACCAAGTGACCCGGCGTGGGGAGGCCCAGGATGGCGCTACGAGGGGGCGACAGAAGGGGCTTCTGACGGAAGGGGTAATACCTAGTAGTGGCATTCGGAGCGGGTGCTACTGAGTGGGGAGACTGGAGAGGGCGCTACCAAGTGTGCGGCGGGAGGGGGACGGGAACGAGGGCATATCCATACGTGAGATCCTTGAGAGGTGCTAGTTATGGTGAGACCTGAAGAGGGCGCTGTCAAGTAGTGACGGGGCTGGGGAGTGATGGTGCTACCATATGGGGAGATCTGGGGTGGTGGCACCAGGTGGGGCGTGGGGGGCACTGTCCCAATAGAGTAGGGAATTGTAAGGGTGGGGAATAGATCATTAGGTGGGAGGGCAAGGAGATAGGAGATTTGGGGTTGCAGGAGGAAAAGGGATGCGTGGGAGGCCCTGGGAGTAAAGGTGGGAAATCCCAAGAATAGTATGACATAAGATCTTGGGAAAGAGTAAGATGATGGGGCACTCATTCATTCACTAATTCAACATGTTTATTGAGCACCTGCTTTGTGCTAAGGCCTGTGCTAGACTCTGGGGATTTAGCAGTGAATGAGGCAGATGTGGCCCTGCCCTTTTATAGCATGTAATTTAGCAGGAAATCAGACGTTGGGTAAAAACACAAGAAATAATAAAATACTTAGAAGTTGTGAGGAATGCTTTGAAAACAACCCCCACAGGGTGTGAAGTAGAGAACAAGGGCTGGAGGCTACTTTAGAAAGCATGGCCAGGGAAGGCCTTACTGAGGAGAAGGCATTTATGTTGAAAAGAATCTCAAAGGAGTGTTCCAGGTGGGTGCAGCCACATGTACAAAGGCCCCGAGGTAGGAAATGAAAGGCTGGCGTGGCTGAAACTTTAGCAAGTTAGCGGGGAGACTGATACAAGATGAGTTTAGAACAGGGGCCAGACCAGATAGGGTTTTACAAGTCACTGCAAAGCTAGTTTGGATTTTACTCCAAGAGGAGACGTTGAGTAGATAGATGGGCCAGTCTGGAGCTCCAGGGAGAATTTGGGCATGGTCAGCCTATGAATGGAATAGAACACCTGGGAATGGATGAGGTCATATAGGGAGAGAAGGGGCCAGAACCTTGAGGAATTTTAATGTTTAGAAAAGAAGGAGAAGAGGCTGAGGAGGAGTAGTCAGTGAAGTGGAAAGATGTCAGGAAAGGTGTCAGGAAAGATGAGAGAAGAGAGTGCTTCTAGAAGGAGAGGGCTGTGCCTTGGGTTGGGTGCTGCCAGGGTGAGCACTGAGCCTTGACTGTTGGATTTGACTCCACGAATGTTGGTGGTAGCCTTAACAAGAGCAGTTTGCAAGAGCAGTTTCTGGGGAATAATGAAGGTGGTAGTCAGCTAGGTAGTCACTCACCCAAAAGTGAACAGGAAGTGAGGAAGTAGAGACAGCAGATGTTGACAAAGTGGTTCGAGTATTTTGGTCCTAAAAGGGAGTGGAGAAACAGGGAGGGGGAGCTGCCTTTTTTTTTTTTTTTTTTTTAAAGGGTGGATGAGTCCAAGAGTCTGGTCTGATAGCCAGAATTGATCCTGCAGAAGAGAAGGGAGACTTACAGCAGCAAAGCCAGGAGAAGGGAGCAGGGGAGAGCCTTTAGCGGCCTTCAGTTGGCCTTTAGTGGGAGCACAAGGGGATTCAGAGTGGGAGCATTTGGTCGGGCTGCAGCCACAAGGAGGTAGGACCTGTGAGGGATGAGGCTGGAGGTGGAGCGTTGGAGGCCTGGTCAGGGAGTGTGGATGTCATCCTCAGGGTGGTGGGGAGGCATGGTAAGATCCCCCAGCTTCCTGGCTGGGATTGGATGCAAAGGCAGAGCTGGAGCCAGGAAGACTAGGATGGTGGACAGGTGAGGGATGGTGGCGTTGCTGACCAACTTAAGAAATGTTTCAGAGAGGAAGTGAGGGCTGGAGAGAGGGAGGAGGGAATGCCAGGCAGAAAGAACAGGATGGCAAAGGCCTATCCTGGCAAAGAGGAGCAGAGCCTGGCACCGAGGAAGTGAGTGGGGCTGGAATGTAAGAGGCAAGGGAGGAGCCTGAGCTTTCTGCTGGGGACCCTGGGGAGCCATGGATAGTTCTGAGAAAGGGAAGGACAGCGTCAGGTTTGTGCTTTAGCCAGACCCCTGCAGAGGAGCAGGACTGGAGGCTGGGAGAGCAGGGAGGAGGCTGGGGCAGGAACCTGGGCCGAACAGGATGAAGGCCAGACTGGGGCAGGGCGGGGCTGTAGGGATTGAAGTGGATGCATAAATCTGAGATGTTGGGGAGGCTGACTGGACAGAACATGGCCACTGCCTGGCGTTGGGGGGTTGAAGGGTCAGGAGAAGTGTCCAGGACAAGGCATGGTCTCCAGCTGGGGGATGGCAAGGAAGGTGGGGCTGTCCCTGAAATGGGGCTAGGAAAGAGCAGCAAGTACGAGGGTTGATGCTGAGGCGAGGTAAGAATTCTGGGAAACAGTAAGCCATGGGGAGGGGCTCCCTGCTCCCCAGGACCTGGGCGCTCAGAAGCCCTGAGGCTGGGCAGGCAGCCAGAGGTGCTCGCGTCGTCGAGCTGGCACAGAGGAGAAAGCTCCTCCTGGTCCAGACCCCTCGCTGTCTGGCAGGCAGCGGCAGGCACAGAGCCCCAGCCTCGGGGGCTGTGGGAATAACAATAAAAAGAATAATTACAGCTCTCCTTAATTGAGCCCCTGTGGTGGCCAGGTACACCACTTTGCTCAATCTTCCCCCGCGGCACTGGGAGGTAGGTGGGCGCAGCCCTGTTTGTTTTATAGAGGAAGCTGAGGCTCAGAGAAGTGAAACCACTTGCCCAAGGTCAGAGTGTGAGCAGCAGAGCCCGGATATCCCCCTTCCTCGCCACGTGCTTGGCTCCCATGTTCAGAGTCCTTACCTGGAGCCTGCAGGGGGAAGAGGATAGCCCCCCTGCCAACACGGCTGGATCCCCTCTGTGAGCTCAGAGCACAGAGCCGATGTTGCTCTGCTCTCTTCCCCTCTCTCTGGTCCTCATCGTCCCCGCTTCTGTAAAATGGGAGGGGTTGTATTTAACCCCCAAAGAGTCCTCTGGGTCTAAGACTTTGTAGACATGGTTAAGATCTCAGGCTGCCTGGATCCAAATCTTGTTTCTTTCTCCTACATGCTGTGTGACCTCCGGGCAAATGACTTAACCTCTCTGTGCCTTTGTGTCCTCATCTCTAAAGTGGGGACTGTCTCGAGGGTTAGATGCACCCAATTTGTAAAGCAGATAGAACAGGGCCGGGATACGGTGTCGCTGGGTAGATGCGTGAAGTGCAGTCTGCTCGCATTTCCTCTGATTCTCCTCTCCTCTTCAGTTAGTCATGTATTCACTTCTCTTGCAAGTATCTGCTGATGGTTTTCTCTGCTGTGGCCACATTCCATAAGAAAGTTTATTTAGCCCTCACAGCTCGGCGAGGCAGGGCACGGCCAATCGTGATTCCTGCATTTTCAGATGAGCCAGCGGAGATGCAGGGAGGGAAGGCTGTTTGCCTGAGGCCTCGTGGTCAGCATTCGTAGATAGAGCCAGGTGTCAGGCTCGGAGACACCTGGCTCCAAACCCCAGGCCAAACGGCCACTTGAGTAGCACCTCAGCCGTCGAGAGAGCTGGCCAGCTGGCCTCTGGAACGTGGCCAGGAGGCTGGAGGTAGTCCTCGAAGGCACTGGCATTCCAGGGAGGGTCCGTCAGACTTAGGCTGTCTGATTCTGCCCTTGCTTGTTTCTGGGAAGTCCTGGGCCTGCCCTCTGGGGCTCCCAGTCCTGAAGAGACACACTCATCACCTAACGGCGACAAAACCGGAACGGGCAGGGCTGGGATAGGTGAGCCCAGAGGCTGGGGCAGCCCGAAGGAGTGCCTGACCCAGCCTGGGGGTCAAGGAGGGCTTCCTGAAAGAGGGGACATCGGAGCCATTTGAAAGATTGCCAGATATTAGGCTGCAGGAGGAATTGTTCTATTGTTCCTGGCCATCTCCCCAGGACCTGACTTCTGCTTTTCCTAGTGTCAGTCTGTCTGCCTCTGTCTTCCTTCCTTCCTTTATTCATTGAAGAACTATTCATGAAGCCTGGAACCCTATTCTTCCATTTTCTTCACCTGACTCACTCTTGCTCAATCTTTCTCATCCTCCAGGTCTCCCACTGTGGCATCCTCTTGGTCTGTCCCTGTGCTGAACACTCTGGGTCATCAGTGTCTGGAGATGTGTGTGTGTGTGTGTGTGTGTGTGTGTGTGTGTATGTCCGTGTGTCCTACTGGACCGTGAGCCCCAGAAGGGCAGAACAGAGGGGGTGCTGTGTCTTCAGACAGGGCAGGGCTCAGAGAAGTAAGACAAACAGGGCCCCAGCCCTCACAGGGCTTAGGTTCAAACTGTGGAAATGGATTATAAGCAAACAAAACAAAGGTTTATCATGGTTTATACAATGGCACTGGAGAAAAGAGGTGGGAATTAGGGCAAGCATTCCCATTTTAGGCCAAGTGCTAGGAGAAGGACTCTCAAACTCAAGTCCAGAGTGGGTACGTAAGTTGCTGAAAGACACCTGGCAAATAAGAGATGGAGCCAGGGATTGGGCCCAGGCCACCAGCCCTCATGCTAGGCTCCCTCTCAGGGGCCACCTGGCACAGAGAGTAAGAATGGGAGTGTTTGGGTGTCAGCTTGTCCCCCAATTCCTGCCTACCACTTGCCTTGTGACCTCAAGCATGGGCTTTCCCTCGCTGAGTGTCAGGACCCTCATCTGGAAAATGGGGCTAATGCAGCTGTCCTCAGGGGTATCGTGAGGGTTCAGGGAAAGGACTCATGTACCAAGAGCCCCACGTGGGACTTGGCACATCATGGTCCGCCAAATCAGGCAAGCCTCTGCGCCTTAGCCTCCTGCCTGTCAAATGGGCACGCGGGAAGGGTCCAAGCCTGGCTCTGCAGATGCAGACCAGGTGTCTGACCTTGAACAAGACCTCCGTGGCTCATCTGTAAAGTGAGCACCAGACGGTGCCTATGCCATGGAGATGTGAGGAGCCGTGGGTCAAGATATAAAGTGCAGGGCACAGCCATAGCTCATTTCGGATGAAATGAACCTTTTCCCCGTGGCCAGACGGCACATCCTGCCGCTCTGCACCTAGAACCTCAGCATCCGCACCCCACTGTGGCTGTGGCCTTTGGGGTCTGTCTTGCCGGCCCCCCCGCCCTCCTCCCCGTCCATCTTCCCGCTCGCTCCACCCCAGCCACGCCAGCCTCTCACTGGTCCTGGAACACGGGCTTGTGCTAGCAGCACACCCCTCCCCTCCCCGCCCCAGGGCCTGTGCACCTCCTGCTCCTTCTGTTGGAAATGCTTTTCCTCTTGTCCAGTTTGTTGCTTCTTTTGGGTCTCTGCTGCTGTGTTCCCTTTTCCTTGAGGCCTAAGTAGATTCCTTCTCCTTTCCCACATCCTCTTCTCCTACTGGGCCCCCTCTTTGGGCTTGTGTCCTTGCCTTTGGGGGCTGGACAACCAAGGGGCTCAGGACAAACTCACATTTGCTGATTCACAACATCTCAGCTCTGGTACTCGAATATATCTTCTCCGGGCCATGGGACTGCAAGAAGACCCTCCTGAGGTTCTGGAAGAAGTATCGCCCAGGTTGGGGCCTTAAGGGGTGATGGCTGGGTGGGTGTGTGGAAGTGACTTTGAGTCCTGGAGATTTGAACCTGAGCGGACAGTTGGGACAGGGAAGAGGGGACAGGCTGAGTAGACATTTCTGAGCTCAGCTGCGGACCTCGGTTTCCCCGTCAGTGCATGGGGACACTGGGCCAGTACCCAGCCTAGGGCCCGTTCTTACTGGGTGGCAGCAGCCCTGCCTCATGCCGCCGCCTCCTCTGTCTCCACAGCCAAGGACTACGAGAACGCGATCAAGTTCTACAGCCAGGCCATCGAGCTGAACTCCAGCAATGCCATCTACTATGGCAACCGCAGCCTGGCCTACCTGCGCACCGAGTGCTACGGCTACGCGCTGGCCGACGCCACACGGGCCGTCGAGATCGACAAGAAGTACATTAAGGGCTACTACCGCCGGGCTGCCAGCAACATGGCCCTGGGCAAGTTCCGGGCCGCCCTGCGTGACTACGAGACGGTGAGCCGGGCCTCGGGGAGTGGGCCGCCTCCGGCACCTGAGCCCGGGGGACGCCACCTCTGGCCAGATGGGGCGGTGGGGGCGGGGGCACGGCCTCAGGGTGCGTGGCTGGCGGGGGAGGGAGGGTGTGAAGAGGCGTCTGCCTGTTCATCCACCCCTCACCCATCCGACAGATAAATGACAGATAAATGCCCGAGAGGCCCCTTGGCCTGGAGCACACTTTGTGGGTTCACATCCCAGCTCTGCCCTCACTCGCTTGGTGAGCCGGGATGAGTGCCCTGGCCTCTCTTTGCTGCCTGTTCCACGGCATGAAATGGGGAGAACGCCAAGACCTGCCTCTAAGGGTTGCCATGAAGAATCAATGAGTTTCTGTTTTTCAAGCGTTCAGACCAGTGCCTGGCCCGTAACCCGTGCCCTGTTACAACGCACCGTTGGGGTTTTTGTCGCTGTGGGTGACCAAGAGCCACGCAACCCGTCTTCCAGCAGAGCCCTAATTTGGGGGAAGGCAAAACCCAAACCCGTGACCTAGAGTAGGCAAACAGAGTCATGGCGGACGAGGAACTGTGCCTGGGAGAAGGCAGAACAGGGCCATATGCTGTAGAGGGCAGCACATGGGGCACGTGTCGTGATGAGACGAGGGAGGGGACCTAGAGTGTGGCAGGTCACCAGGTCACCCGCTCATCGGCCACTCCCATCCCTATGATTTCCTCTCATGGTCATGATAGGCGTGAGGATGTCAGGGCGCGTGCGTTCCTGCCTCGCATGTCCCGTGCCCTCTGTGCGGACGGGCGGAACGAATCGTTGTGGCAGCCCTGTGGGAGGGGGACTGGTGATTAACCCCACTGTGCAGACGGGGCGGCTGAGGCCCAGGGAATCGGGTCACCTGTCTGCCAACACGCGACCGGCAGGTGGCAGACCCGGGGTTTGAAGCCCCGGCACCTGTGTCTCCTGCTTCGGAGAGCCTGACAGGAGGGGTTTTGCTTGTTCTGTTCATTGGGTCGTTGCTTGGCACCAACAGGGGCTCAGTCAGAATGTGTTGCGTTATTCTGCACCCCCCCCCATACACACCCCCATACTCCCTCCTTTTGTTTCATTCACCACCGGGCGCTGGGCAGCTTCTGTTGTGTGGGGAGGGGCGCCTAGGGGCTTGAGAGCCACAGGCTGCAGTTGGAGGGAGCGGGGCTGGCTGCTGGCCTGGGGTGGAGGGTGGATTTCAGGCAAGTGAAGGCTTGAGGCAAGCCCTGGGCCAGGGGACACCTGTATCAGGGTGGGGGCAGGGGCATGGAAGAGGCAGTAATGTAGAGCCTGGGGGACAAAATGGAGGAGGGAGTGGGGTGACACCCAGGAGGATGGGGGAAGGAACAGTGGGACAGAGTCCTTAGGAGCTTCAGGTCCCAGGCCATTCCCCAGCCTAACCTGCACCTTGTTGTCCCCTGGTGTCCTCATCTAGAGAATAGCAACAAGATGAGTGGCCACCTTCTGGGTGGCCGTGGCGTGAGTAGAGGTTATTGGGGCGAAGGGTCCATTAATGAGTAACCCAGGAGGGCCCTCGGGGTTGGACAGGGGCAGGGTTTTTCTGCAGGGCTCCCGGTGCGGGGAAAGGCCTGGAGGAGACAGGGCAGGGCAGAGGACCGACGAGCCTGAGCACAGGTCTGTGGCAGGGTCTTCACCATGCGTGGAGTTGTAGGAAAGTCTTCCCTGGGGTATAATCCCCTTCTCCTCATGGCTCTGGCCCCTGGTCAAGCAAGGGCCTAATCCCACATACTCCATGAGACTGAGATGGTTGGTTCTAGCCATCGTGTGCACATAATCACATCTGAACATCTTCCCAGGCCTTTTGGATGCCATGGAAGGCTGGTGGCGGGGGTCCACAGCTTTTTGGGAACCAACCTGAGGTAGGGCCACACTCAGCATTTAAATTGTCTCAGCCTATTTCCCTGTGGAGGCTTCGCCAGGAGCAGTGGCGAGTCCCCACACGAGCCCGGGATCCTTGCCCGTGTGGGTCCTCCCCAAGCCTTCAGGCTGTCCGCTTCTCCACTCTGACACATTTCATCAGGCTCTGTGAGCGCCAGGCAGCTCCCCGTCCAGAGGTCTCTGCCTCCTGCCCCCCTGCCTTCCAGAGGTGCCTTGCGACATGCTAGAGCTTCAGGCCCCCGCTTAGATCGCGGCTTCCGTGGAGGCAGAGCCAAGATGTGGCCTTGGATGAACACAGGCCTGAGGCTTTCTTTCTCTTTCCTTTCTCAGCCTCAGTGTCCTCGTGTGCACGCTCACCATGGGCCTTGCTCTGTTGTGAGCTCTTTACGTGCCTGGGCTCAGTCCATTGTGCAGGCAGGAAGCAGAGGTCCGGAGGGGAAGCCCCTCCTCCAAGGCCTTGGGGAAGAGTTGGGACTGGAACCCGGAGTCCCGTCTTGTGACTGTTAGTGGGCCATGAAGTCAGTCCAGTGGTTTGGACACCAGCACCTGTGTCTTCCTCAAATAGAACAGAGTAGAAAAAACAGTTCCTTTGGAGGAAGTGTGTATATATATTCGTGAAAAGATGTTTCTCGCGTATGTGCATATGGGTGTGTGGTGTAAAATGTATCTTTCCTTGCCGTGAGTCATGATCCAAAGCCTCAAGGCTACTACTAATGGAGGAGCTGACACAGGCAGCAGCCCGGCGCCCAGCCACGGGCTGGCTCTGAGCGCTTTGGCTCTCTGCCCTCGGTGTCCTCATCTGGAGAAGGGGGAGAACACTAGGGCTCGCCTCAGAGGGTTCCTGTGAGGAATAAACGAGATTAGTACGTGGAGAGTGGGGCCTGCCCCCACTTAGTGCTCACTGCCCTTCCTTCTGGGGTCGTGTGGGGGGAGAGCCCCTGGCCCGTAGGAAGGCTGTGTGCCCCTCCAGGGGCCTCAGCAGGAACGGGTCTCCCTTTTCCGTGGGTCCATGCTGAACCCCGCCCCCCATCCCTCGCACCTCCAAGTTAATCCTTCCAGGGGGACCCTTGCTCCAGGATTCCTTGTCCCTTTTCTGGGTCCTCTTCTCGGAAGACCGCTCCGCCCCTGCCGTGTTCTTTCCTGTTTGTGGTTGGAATGCAGCTGGTCATCTGGGCTCAAGCCGGATCCAGGGGACTCCTTCTACGCTCCCCACCTCGGATTTTGGAGGTTTGGTTTATAATAGGGTTTGCATTTGGGTTTCTTCTTCCAGCATCGTCCAGCCTTGCAAGCCCGTACGGCGTGCGTACACCTAAGGGATGGCGACCCCGTAGTTCCAGGAGCCGCCGTAGCTGATGTCTCGTACAGCCCGCACCGTGGGCCGGGCCACGGTGACCTTCATGCCCTAGGAACGGGCAGTCTTCACACCAACCCTGCGCCGTGGGGTCTGTCCTGCTCCCTGATTTATAGATGAGGAAACGGAAGCCCAGAGTGTGGGCCTCTCCCTCGAGGTCCCACAGCCAGGAAGTGACAGGCTGGTACCCGAGTCAGGTGCGTGACCACCGGCCGTACGCAGCGGGCAGAGCGCCTCGGCACAGCGCTCTCCCATCGCTCAGCCCGACTCCGACCGTCTCTCCTCTTCTGTTGCGTTTTATAGAAGGAACGTTGAGTATGACTCGCTAAATCAAGTCACTAGAGGGTCTTGCCCTGGAGGATGACAGCCTTGGTGTCGTGCTTGAGACCGTCCCTGTGCATTGCCTGCCCGGGACCCGGCCCCGCTTCCGCTGCCCGTGTGCCTCGGACGGGCCCCTCCGGGCCGCATCTCAGCACATTTAGAGTCAAGTTCGGGCAAACTGTTTGGTGGCCAGATCTGACCCGAACTTACGAGCGGGACACTCACTGCTACCAGTGCTGCTCGGACCTGCCGGGGGCGTTACGGTCCCCACGGCATTGCCCGGCTGCCACCCGAAGGCGGCCCCCACGGTGTCATGTAGGGATCGCGAACCCGGCTTACCGTGCGGTCAGGTCGAACACCGTGGTTCTTGCCTGTGAGCGCTCCTGGCTGAATGGCGCTTGTCAAAACAGCTTCTCGAGGGCATCGTGGCTTCACACGCGGTTGTGAGAAGTGAAGTGAGACCGTGCTCCTGGTTTCCCCCGTAACCACGTAGACACCACGGTCAGAATCTGGACCGTGGTACAACCCACATACCACTTTCTAAAGACAAGTCCAGCGTTGAGTTCTGACTCGCCAGGCCCCTCCAGTCTGGAGGGAATGACCTTCCCCGGGAGCAGAGGCGCCCGGCAGGGCCACTTCCCCTTTCCCAGCCCGTAGTGAGTTGAGGCGGCAGCCACCGGGCCTGGAGTGAGTACTCACTGGCTGTCGGCCCCTGTGATGGGCCCTCCGCAGGAGTGCTGGCACCCTGCCCTCTTCCTAGGAGCTGAGGGGGGCTCAGGCCGGGGACAGGTGGCAGTGGGCAGGGAGGGGGTGCAGCCCAGCGTGCACGGTGGAAGGCAGGATCCTAGGCAGGGACAAAACAGAATCCTGGCTTCTTGGGCCTCGGTTTCTCTGCCTCATGTCTCTGGGCCTCAGTTTTTTCATCCATCAAATGGGGGATTGTGTTAACACCCGATAGAGCTGCTTGGAGGATAAAGTGAGCCAGTTCAGTGCGGACGACAACATCAGGTATGTAGTAAGGGCTCCGAAATTTAGCCGTGTATTGTTACTGCTACTGATCCTCTTTTCCCGGCCTTGTTAGTATTCGTCCCCATTCTCCACCTACCCTGCGAGTTCTCTGAGACCTGGGACCGGCCGGAGGAAATGCTTAGTGGTTCATCCTTCCCCTAGGACGCGTCCATTCCCTCCTGGGGCGCAGCCGCAGCCTCACCCTTGTGGGGCCACCTTCCAGTGGGGAGACACCCACCTCCAGCCGTGTTTAGGGCTGGGCCTGGTGAGCCCCAGGGCTTGTGGGAGCACAGAGGGGTGCTTGACCCCGCCCTGGGGGGTGGGGGTGCTCCTGGAGGAGGAGGAGCTAGGAAGGAGCTGGAGGTGGAAGGGAGGTGTCCTGGGCCGGGGGCAGCCTTTGCAAGGTGACGGGAGCTAGCACATGGCACTCGTGGGTTTGCTCTGGCTGGGTTGTGCTGGTCGGACAGAAAGTAGAGGGGTGGGCAGGCCTGCGTGGGCCTGGCCGAGTGGCAGTTTGGACTTGATCCCAGGGTGTGGACTCATACCCTCTCCCTGTTGGGAAGGACTCCCGGGGATGTCTGGTGCCGCCTCCCGAGCCTCGCACCACACCCACAGCCCAGGTGGAGCCGCCTGGCAGGCTGCCCTAGCCTGAGCCTGCCCAGACAGGGAAGAAGCCATCGCCTGCCACCACCCAGCTCCTTGCTATCCGCTGGGTCTGCGCACCCGTCCCCAGGGTGGATGAGCCCCCGTGATCCTCGGGGTTAGCAAGTGCCTCCGCACAGGCTCCTGACTCCCCCGGGGTGGGGGGGTGGCATCCCCGCACTTGAGGGCCAGCTCTGGCATCTCTCTCCGGGCCCCCGGCCCAGGAGCTGTGGACCTACTCCTCGGGCCACCGCGACGTGGGCACGTCCGGCAGGGTCCACTCATAGCAATTACAGTTACAGATAAGGAAACTGAGGGGGGTGGCGGGTGACGTCCTTGCTGAAGGTGACACAATAAGGAAATGGCAGAGCCCTGTCTGCTTCTGAATTGGGAGGATCAGAGTTTGTAGAAAGCGGGATAGAAGGTGGGGGTGGTGGGACGGGCTCCTTTTATAGAGAACTTACCGTACCTCCAAGCCCCGGGCCTGGTGCTTGTTTGCGTGTGACCCCATCTCAAGCACAGCGGCCCATGAAAGGGGCCATGAGGTGCGGCCACCGCTTGTGTGGACTTTACTCTTGCCAGCCCGGCGGCGCACACACGCTGTGTGCAAGTTCGCGCCTGTGATCCTCACGGCCGCCCTTGGAGGCGGAGACCGTTACCTCTTCCCTCCCGCGGAGAGGCTGCCCGGCTGCTCCGCGTGACTCGGCTGAGGATCGGTGGAGCTGGGCTTTGAACCCCGGGCGGCCTGCCTCTGCCCACAGTCTCTGCTGCCCTTCAGAAGCGGAGACTGAGGGGACAGCACTCGGTGCCAGGGGGGGCCCTGGATTCCTTACCTGTGCTTCCCCACGGCCCTGCCAGGTGGAGCCTGCCGTTGTGTCCCCCCGCCCGTTTTATAGACGAGAAAATGGAGGCCCAGGGGGTCCAGGTTATCCAGCAGGTCGTTGGTTCTGTTGCGTCTGGGCTGCTCCTTATGGCTGTGGACCCGGCCCACCCTCTCCTCTTCCTCCCACTCCCCTCGGTGTTGACGGTCATGTCAGTAAAGTGAGCCTCAGCCTGCTGGGGTCCCCACGAGGAGCTCCAAGCTGAGCACGTGCTCCAAAGCTGGGACACTTATTTTAACGACACAGCTAAGATTTTTGTAAGAAATCCCAGCTGCTTGGGTTAACAGTGTTTACCAAACCTCAGGACAGCCCTGGGTGGGCAGCTCTCCTTGCCCAGTTGCGGGAGGCACAGGCTGCGGCCTGGAGGTTGATCACGGTCAGGGTCGCACCGCTAGCGCATGGAGGCCGGTGGTCTGGCTCCAGGTTCGTGGCGCCCAGGGCCAGGCCGAGCGAGCACAGCCACGGCGTCCCCTCTTCTGCCTGCTCCTCTGCCCCAGACCGGCTATGCCGGCACGTTGATGCCTCTTTTCTTCCTTCCTCTGCCCGCCCAGGTGGTGAAGGTGAAGCCCCACGACAAGGATGCCAAAATGAAGTACCAGGAGTGCAACAAGATTGTGAAGCAGAAAGCCTTTGAGCGGGCCATTGCAGGAGATGAGCACAAGCGCTCCGTGGTGGACTCGCTGGACATCGAGAGCATGAGTGAGTCGGGCCTGGGTGCCCCGCCACACCCAGCCCCGAACATTCCACATCCTTGCACGGGCCCTCTCCATTCCCCACGCACACTGGGGAGTGGTGGCGCGGGTGGCCTCTGGCCCCGGTCTGCTGTCTTTTGCTCCTCTTCCTGCGTTCCTGGGAACTCCACAGTCCCACGCTGGGGCTTGCGTTCCCCAGGTCAGGCCAGGCGGGTGAGCCCCTCCTACCCTCCGCCGGGGTCTAACTCCCTGCCCGCCTCTGTACCGCCCAGCCCACCCTTCCCGGGCCTCCCTGTGGGACTTGTCTAGGTCCTGCAGGCCCTCCGACGATTCAGTTATTCGTTCCACAGCTAATTACCGAGCACCTACTACGTGCCAAACCCTGTTCTAGGCACTGGGGATACAGCTGTGAATAAAACAATCCCTGCCCTCACCAAGCTGATGCCCTGGTAGGGAAAGAGATGATTAACAAGTCAACAAATGAGTTAACTGTGTTAAGTGCTGTAAAACCAAGTAGGCAGTGGGGAGAGAGGGTACTGGAAGAGGGGGGCCCACTGGACAGAGAGGAAAGCAGAGCCGGCCCGAACAGAAGGAGCGGGCAGGGAAAGGACCTGGCTGGGGAGCGGGACCTTCTCCCTCCATCTTCCTCTCGCCCTGTGCCCGGGAGGCCCCCCCCCCACCATGATGGCTGTGGTCACTGACTCGCTCCTGCTCCCCGTTCACACACCAGCCATTGAGGATGAGTACAGCGGTCCCAAGCTCGAGGATGGCAAAGTGACAATCACCTTCATGAAGGAGCTCATGCAGTGGTACAAGGACCAGAAGAAACTGCACCGGAAATGCGCCTACCAGGTAACGCACCTGCCAGGTGCTGCGCACACCTGGGACCTCCGCCACAAAGGGCAGGTCGAGGGGCAGGGCGGCCACGGCGGCCAACACTGCGGAGCCGGGAGCGTGCTGAGCGCAGTGCAGAGGAAGCCTTTATTTCTGACACTGCGTTTTCGTTTCTGGCATTTCCATCTAGTCATTTTTATTAATAGTTTTCATCTCCCTGCCCCATATGTTCATGCCTGTTGTCTTTTCCACTAGATCTCTTACACATTTATCATAGATATTTTTAAAGTCTCTGGTAATTCCACCATCTGGGTCATCTCTGGGTCTGCTTCTGTTGTCTGTTCTTCGGGTGTCTCATCGTTTTTTATTGTCTGCCGGACATTTTGGGTAAAAGAACAGCAGGGACTGAGCTAAGTAAGAATTGTGCGCAGACGATGGCAGCCCTGCCTTCCGTCAGGCCGCTGGTGTGAGGGGCCCTATCCGAGCGATCTGCAGTTGCACGCAGCTCTTGCTGGAGTTCACTCCTGGCTCGCACTGTTTTCAGGCTGGAATCAGGACTCTCCCGTCAGCCCTGGCAGGATCCCAGGGATGTCTTTATGTTGCAAAGTCTCCAGCTCCTGGAACTGTGGGAGCACTCTCTGATTTTCAGCCCCACGGCCAGAGTTTTGGGCTGCTGGGGGAGCTCTGTGCTCTCCAGCGTTGCCCCCACTCTTGTGCCTCAGGAGGCTCCCCCCTCACACGCACACCATGCTGCCTCACACCTCACTTTCTGTGACGGCGGCGTGAGCAGGTTGGCAGGTGAGAGCAGAAGCGTTCGGTGGCGGGGGCTGCTCTGGGCTCTGCGCGTCAGCAGCCCGCACACGGCCCGAGCGCTCTGCTGGCTACCCCCACTCTGGGCCTCGCGGAGCCTCTCGGCCTCCTGCCCTCCTGCCACGCTGCTGGGAGGTGCCAAGGAAGGGCTTGTTGCTGTTACAGTTGATGCATTTAGGTTTCTTTGTGAACACCCTCGGCTCTCAGATGGTTTTCATGGGATTGGTTGGATTTTGTGGGTTTGGGGTTTGTTGTCATTAGGGCAAGAGTGACAGTCTTTTGTAACCTTCTCCATTCTGACCAGAGGTGGACATCTACTTTTTTTATACTTTGGGTCCCCCCCCCCAACTTTTTATTTTGAAAATTGTCAAACAGAAACATGGAAAGAACAGTACTGTTCTGATATCCAAGGGCTGATATCCATGCCCCCTTCACCCAGATGCGCCCGTTGTTAACATTTTGACACATTTACCTTAGCTTTCTACACACGTGTGTGCATGCACACTCACTGCGGTCTTTCTTTCCTCGTTTCTTGTCCTGAACCGGAAAGGAAGTTGCATCATAACCTGTATCTCCTAAAAGCAGGACGTTGTCCTGCGACCACAGTTCAGGTGTCTCCCCTTAGAAATTAATACTGCCTGGGGTGCCTGGGTGGCTCAGTAGTTAAGCGTCTGCCTTCGGCTCAGGTCATGGTCCCGGGGTCCTGGGATCGAGCCCCACGTCGGCTCAGGTCATGATCCCGGGGTCCTGGGATCAAGCCCCACGTCGGCTCAGGTCATGATCCCAGGGTCCTGGGATCGAGCCCCACGTCGGCTCAGGTCATGATCCCGGGGTCCTGGGATCGAGCCCCGCATCGGGCTCCCTGCTCAGCAGGGAACCTGCTTCTCCCTCTCCGACTCCCGCTGCTTGTGTTCCCTCTCTCGCTGTGTCTCTCTCTGTCAAATAAATAAAATCTTTAAAAAAAAAAAAATTAATACTGCCTAATGCAAACAGTCCGCAGTCCATCCACAAAATCTGGAAACACTGTCAAATATACATGACAACGTCAAAGTCATTTTTAGTCTTTCCTTAGCAAAAACTAGTATTGTCTGCATTTCCAGACAAATACTTTAATTTCCCTCGGTTCTCCCAAAAATGTCCTTTTTAGCTATTTCGTTGGTTTTGTTTTTTACGGGTGTGTGTTTGTTTTTAATCCAGAATCCATTGAAAGAGCAAATGTTGCATTTTTATCTTCTTTCATAGAACAGTCTCGTGCCCTTTTGGGGAGACACTTTCATGACACATGTAGATGTGTCCCGGCCAGTTGGTTAGAAAATGTTCCACATCTGGATTCGTCCATGTTTCTTCATGTTGCTGATTATATTAAGGGGAACCCAGAATTTCCATTTTCATGTGAAATATCCTGATGTTGAAATGCCACAGAGGCTGCTGGGGCCACAGCTTGAGGGCCGCCTGTGGCTCCTGCCAGCGCTCACTTGTCCAGCCTCCCCTGCCCATTCCTCTCCCCTCCCGGCCTCTCCCTCGCCCTCCACGCAGCAGTATCTCCCGGTTAGCCCAGGCTCCCCAGGGCCCGGGATGGGCGGCAGGCCCTCCTTCCGGCCACACTCACAGCCTGCCCTGCCTTCCAGATCCTGGTACAGGTCAAAGAGGCCCTCTCCAAGCTGAGCACGCTCGTGGAGACCACGCTCAAAGAGGTGCGCGCCGTGGGGCAGTGTGCGGACGGGCCAGGGGTGGGGGGCTCCCCGGCTGGGGAGGGGCTGTGGAGCTCAGAAACTCACAGACCCCCCTGGCTTGG